GGGGGGAACGTGTTTTTGGGGGGCGGGAGGGATGTTGGAGAGGGGGCGAGCATGGGCGCGGTTGCTGGCGCTGGTGGCGCGGGGCGGCGGCGCGCATCACAACAGGCGTGTGCAGTCAGCGGGGCCGCGATCGCGCGGGCGACGTCGGCCGCTAGAGCGCGCTCGTGGCTGCCTCACCGGCGCCGACGAAGAAGTCGACCCCGAGGCCGGCGCCCCTCCTGCAAGGAGTGCCAAGGGATGCGCGTCAACGCGAGCAACAGGCGCCAGTCGCGCCCATCCGCCTGGCGTCTGACAGCCACCGCCACCGCCCGCGCCTGCAGGCGCCCGCCACCCTGCCTGACGGCACCCGCGAGGCGCCCGCGCCCCTGCGGCCGTCCGGCCGCCGCGCCGCAGCCTCGCGAGCAACTGCGCGCCTCTCGCGCCGCACCCCGGGCTCCTGCGGAGCCACGGCCGCCGCGCGCACCCACGAGGCTCTGCTGGCCGCCCGCTCCGCCGCCGCCAGCCGGCCCGCCGCCGACCCAATCGCAACCTGCGCGCTCGCGCCCTCACCTCGAGTTCGAGATTGTCATGTTGAACATGACCACGGTCCTGTTGGCCTCGATGACCGCCGCGTCACCCAGGAAGTCAAAGTTCAGGGACACGTCCGGGGCGAGGGCGGTGACGTTGACGTTGCGGCTGAGGTAAACGGCGTATGACTTGGCCACGCTGCGGGTCGGAGCGGCGCGGGTGCGTCGAGGAGGGGGTGGGGATGTGCGCATGCGTGAGAGGTCCCGCATGGACGTGCGCGTGCACGGCAGTCGGTGCTGCATGCAGATGCTGATTGTATGTGTGTGACGGGGTGGTGAAGCGAGTGCTGGTCTAGTTGCAAGTGTGTGCGCATGTTGTGCGTGCGCATGCGTTGAAGGTGAGGTTTGTTTGCCGTATGCCTACAGCGCAGGTGTTGCAGACGTGTGTGAAAAAGGTTGTCAAGATGAGTCACTCTTCGGGTGCCCTTCAAGGGCTCGGGGGGCCCAGGGGGGGAGTACGCGGGGCGGGCACGCACGCGACGCGCTACGCCGCTGCCTGTGCAGCCGCGCCGCCCATGCAGCGGTCAGGGACGGCAGCTGGGATCTCGCTCGGCCGCCGGCGGCGCGCATGCGGCCCGAGCCGCGCCAGCCGCCCGCCGAGGGTCCTGCCGCCCGACCACTCGCGCGCGGGCGCGCACACCGAGCGCGCACCTGTTGTGCGCAAACTCCTCTGCGGTGAGGGTCACGTCCTCCACCAGGACAATGCGCGTGACCGACTGATCCTGCAGCGCGTCCCGCATCGTCATGCACGCCGCGACCCCAGAAGGCGGCGCCTGCGGCGTGCACGCGCCCGACTGGGACACGTATGCCGTCTTCCTCGCCCCCGTGCCGCGCGGGATCAGCGCTACTGTCAGGAAGCATACGGCCCATTTCCAAGAGAATGGGCATGCTGCTCGCGGCATGCTGCTGCCGATGAGCCTCTCGCAATCAGATGCCCGGCGACGGCACACTCATGGCCCTGGCGCGTTCCCCTGAGTTTTTGTCTATTGAACACAAACTTTGGATGAGGAGCGAGTACACGTCTTGGGTGACTGCTAGCACAGAAAATCAGTGGGGTCCATCCGTGGTCATCGCCCTACGAAGGGCGTGAGTGGGTGGACAGCGAAATTGAGACGTGTCGTGCGTTGGATACGATCAGAGGGGGAACGGCACCATCACGTAGCAGCAGAATCAGTCACTGCCGACTCGGGGTGTGGCCGTCGCCCAACTTGACACCCGCAATGATGATCACTGCGGGTGTCCCACACCTAGTGGCGACACGCTCGCAGATCGGCTGCGCAATCGAAGGCGCCATTACAAAGTTAGGACAGTGCCCCCCAAGCGGCCCTGCGAGTGGGGCGCCCGCGAGCATGCGCCGGCGATTGGGAAGCGCAGCGCCTAGGTCTGGCGGCACGCATGCTGTGTGGGGGCCGTTGCAAGGTCAAAAGCAAGAGTCCATGACAAGACAGTGCCTGTCACGTTCAACATGTGTGGCCGATGGGCGATGGTCCATCACATATCCGGTGGCCGACTTGCGTGTACAGCGTGGCTAGGCATGGCAGGTGTCGAAGGCAATCCCCCAGCTGCATACCAACGGCACAAATGTGTTTGCTCGTAGGTATCAAACACTCTGAAGGCAGCATGCTGTTGTGCATGCACGCCTTGCCCAGCAAACGCAGACGCGGGGCGGAGGTTTCGATAGGGTCACCGCCAGCGAGTGCCGGCGCCCAACATTGCAAGCAGCCCAGACTGTGACGCCAGCGCATCAGCGCCGCCCCTGGGACCAAGCAGCGCGGCCCGCTGGTCACATGCACAACAGTGGCATGCGTGCGGCAACGCAGAGAGGAAGCTAAAAATCTTGTCACCCAGGTCGGCTTCGCTGCTGCAGCCAGCAAGCGCACATGGGGTGGGGATGCGCCATCTCTCAGCAGTGGTTGGATGTGAGGCAGGGTAAGTCGAAGGAAGAACCATTCCAAGGCGGGCCAGTTGACAAGCCATGGTTCAAGAAAACCCATCCTCATGCTGCATGTCGTACTTCAAAGCTGGCACATATCTGATCCCTCTGACCCCGCCCCAAATCCTCAGTACTACAAGGGCCGAGTGTTGCATTGGCGATGCCACAACGTTTGGAGGACAGCCTGCCAAGCCCGGGCGCCTGTCGGATGCCAGGGTGCAAAATCCAGCGCGCAATCTGGCTGCGGGACCCATGCACTCTTGAGCGATTGCAACGCCGCAGGCCTCACGCCTTGGTTGACCAGTCAAAGATGTTTTGGTCAGCCTGCCGACAACAAGTGGGGCAAAGCCTGCAGCTGCAGGAATTCATGCAATTGATGTGTTTATGCCCCCACCGGCAGCCTGTGCTGGTGGTCCTTCATGCCGGTTGGAGGACCCCACACGTCACCCGCCGCAAGCAGGAGCCGCCCTCGCCAGCCCGCGGTGTGCTGGAGCAGGAGCGGAGCAGAGCAGGCTTGTGCCTGGCAGTTGACTGCAGTGCTTTGCACAAAGACAGGCAGGCACTAGCAGGCTAAACGGCCGTCATGCACCTGATTCGGCAGGTGGCGCAGTTTCGGTCCCTGAGCTCAGCTGCAGCCCAGGTGCACCTCCACACTTGCCCCGACCGTCGCGTTTCCACACGCAGCCAATGTCCATGGGCCCGTTGATTGTATGTTTGTTCTTGTGAATACTGGCCGTGTTATATAGGCGAGTTAGGCGGGCGCGCGGCCTCAAGCACATCATCCGCCCCGATCACCTCAACTGCAGAGGCCGCGAGTGGGTTGGGTGCCGCGCGTCCCTGCACAAGAATATTCTGTGAAGATGACGCTCCGCGCTTTGGCGGTGCGGTGGGGCCTGCTGAACAAGCATGAGGAGCATCACGAGCGCGACGAGGACCCCCTGTGGAGGGTGAGCCGGGGGGCAGCCCCACCCGCGAACGCTACGCAACCATGGTAATGCCCATGGTTTTATGTCTATGTTTCGCCAGATGCTCGTGCCAGGCGCTGAGCGCCGCCCGCCCCGACAGCCCCGCCGCGTTGCACGATGCCGCCATGCTTGTGCCACGCCGCAACCCTGCCCCTCGCCCGGCACGCATGCGGCCGCTGTCCCCTGTCTTGCACTTTTCGCAGGCGCCTTTGCACAAGGACGCGGACCATGAGATTGGCGGGATGTCGTGCAACGACGACAAGCTGCTGGCGGAGATGCGCAAGTGCGCCTGGGGAGCCAGCGGGCGGCTCGGGCCGGGGTCTGCGCGGGGGGACGCATGCGCCGGGGCCGCCGGGCGTGCGGGCGCGGCACGCCCCGCCGCCCACTCGGCTCGGTGCCACGCGGCGCCGCCGAGCCGCCCTGACTGCGGGATCCGGCCTTGCCTGCCCCGCGCGCGCCGACGCGCCCCGCGCCCCGCGCCCCGCGCCGCGCCGCGGCCCGCAGGGCCATCATGGCATGGGTAAAGTCCATGGGGCGGCAGATACTGGGCGGCAACCTCAACCTCGTGAACTCATCGTTCCCTGTGCTGATGTTTGAGCCGCGCAGCTACCTGGAAAAGCTGGCAGACCCGTGGGTCTACCCAGGTGGGCGTGCGCATCGGCGCGCCTGATCGTGCACGCATACATGCGTGTGTTTCTGCGAGAGAGGGGGAGGAAGGAGGAGGAGGAGGAGGGGGAGAGAATGTGCGTTTGAATGCGCGTTGTGTTCGCTCGGAGTCTGTGCATGTTTGGCGTGCGGGACTGCATTGTGTGAGATTGACACAGGTGTTTGGGCGCAGGCAGGACGGCGAAGGAGCCAGCTGTGCGTAGGCACGAGAGCACGTGTGTGGCAGCTGTCAGCATGCGGCCCAGGCGGCGCCCACGCCGTCTCACGCCTGTAAGGGCTTGAAGCAGCACGCCTGCGGGCCATCAGACATGCTGACGTCAGCACCACAGCATGCACCCGCCCACCCCCTCTCACACGCGTATGCGTGCACACACGCGCACACACACACACACATACACACACACACGCACATGCACACACATGCACCACCACACACACACACACGCACACACACACGCACACGCGCGCACACAAACACACCCTCTCACACACACTCACACACTCACAACAACACACTCAGACCTGATCAACGCGGCAGCTGCGGCCAGCGACCCCCTCGACCGGATGAAGCTGCTGGTGACGTGGACGGTGGCCGGCATGCACCGCGGCTTTGAGACGTGGAAGAAGCCCTTCAACCCCATCCTCGGGGAGACCTGGCAGGCGTCGCTGGAGGGGGGCATCGACCTGTACATGGAGCAGGTGGGCGGGGAGGCGGCTGGCCATGCGGGTTGGTGGGTGGAGGAGTCAAGCTTGCATACGTGTGTGTGTGTGTGTGTGCAGCGTGTATGTGCACATAACTTTGCGCATGCCACGTGTGCGTGTGTGTGTGTGTGTGTGTGTGTGTACACAGCAGGGCCACCCGACGCGACGCGCCCGCTTCGACGCACCCACCCCCGTGCGCGCGTGCTGCGCGGCCTTGTCCTTCCCCCAGCTGAGCCACCACCCGCCGGTCAGCGCGTACGAGCTGGTGGGCCCCGGCGGCAGCTGGCGCTGCTCGGGCTGGAGCCAGCCCGCCGTGGCGCCGGTGGTCAAGTTCTACGGGATCAAGACCCTGGCCAAGGGGCGGCGGAAATTCGAGATGCCTGATGGGACGTCGATAGAGTTCTTCATGCCACACTATGCCATTAAAGGTGGGCCGCGCTGCATTCATAGCATGTGCGAGAGCCAAACTCGCATGACGTTGCAGGGGGGGGGATGTTGTGGCGAAGTTGCGTTTCTTCGCTGACAGCGGTCAACGCTGGAGAAGGGCGGTGCATTCGGAGGCGTTGGCGCAGCTAAGGGCCTCCTCCCGCTCGCGGCGCCCGACCCCGCCGCCGCGCCCTCCGCGGCCTGTGCGCAGGGGTGGTGTACGCGGCGCGGCCGCGCGCGGAGGTGCTGGGCGTGCTGCGCATCGTGGATGCGGCCAACCATCTTGAGGCAGTGGTGGCGTTTGGGCCCGTCAAGGTGCGCGCGCCGCCGCCGAACCACCTTGCCGCCGCTGGGGCGGCCCGCGCGGCCCGCCGGCGCCTCGGGCGGCGCGACTGCGGCCGCGGGCCGCTCGCGGCGGCGCCATGCGCGGGCGCGGGCTGCTCGCGGTCGGCGAGTGGTAGCTGCCGGCTGCCGCATCGCCCTTTGTTCGACGCTCTGCACGTCAAAGGCCGCCCCCTCCCCCCTATGAAATTCTTCTGATGCGCAGGGCGCGCGCCACCGGGTGCTGTCGCGCGCCGACGCGGTGTGCGGAGAGATCTACCGCCTGCCCGGCGGCGTCGCCACCAACGGCACCGCCGCGCCCCGCGGCGGCGTCGGCGGCGGCGCGCACGGCGCGCTGCAGCGCTCGGCGACGGAGGCGCAGCCGCTGAGTGACATGGCTTTGGACAGCGACGTCGGGTCCCTGCCCAGCGGCGGCAGCGAGGGCGGGGAGGGGGACGACGAGGACGCGGCCATTTTGGACGCGGTGCTGACAGACACGGCGGCCCCCGACGCCGCCGACCGCCGGACCTCCGGCGCCGGCGGCCCCGGCGCGGCGCCGTCCTCGCCCGCGCCCCCGCGCCGCGAGAGCGCCGCCGGCGAGAAGCGCAAGGCGCGCCGCAGCAGCGTGACGAGCAGCGACGTGGGCGTGAGCGCCGACGGGTCGCGCGCGGGCGCGGCGGCGGGCGACCTCGCGGGCGCCGACGGCAGCGAGGGGGCGACATACCACCGCAACCACGGGGTGCGCGTGCCCGGCGTCGCCGTCGCGCGGATCGAGGGCAGCTGGCTGTCGCACCTCAACGTCGACAGCAAGCGCTACTGGACGCTCGCCGAGTCGAAGCCCAAGCCGTGGCTGCCGCCGTCAGCCGGCCGGGTGCTGCCGTCGGACGCGTCGTCGCGCCGGGACCTGCGGACGCTCAAGACCGGCGACTTTGAGGCGGCGCAGAGGGTCAAGGAGGAGATGGAGGTCGAGCAGCGCGCGGACAGGAAGCTGCGGGAAGCTGCGGGCGTGTACGAGCACCACTGATGCGCCGCCGCGCGTGCGTCGCGGCGGGCGGCGCGGCCCGGGCGCGGGCGCGGCCCGGGGCCGTCGGGCGGCCCCGCAGGGCGCATGCCGGCGCGGGGTTGCGCGTTTGCAAGGGTCCTGCGGGCCGCGCCCGCCCGCAAGATTGTACATGACAGCGCGGCGCGCTCAATGGAGCGGAGAGCGGCGTGGCGGGCGCACATTACGAGCCCGATGGTGGATCCCCCGCCCTCGGCGGTCCCCGCGTTTTTTGCCCCTGCGTCAGGCATCTGCGGTCGGCGTTTCGCAGAGACGCCCTCTGCTTGTTGCAAGAACCCGTTGAGATTCTAGATTGACGCCATCAAACACAAAGCCCCAAACATCGGCGTGACGCCGAGGCTGTCGTCTCTTTACCCCCCATAAGCCAGGCTTGGGCGCCGCTCCCCTGGCACCCTCGCGGCGCAGGCCTTTCGGTCGCCGCACCGCGTTGAGAGCCGTAGCAGACGTGCGGCTGCCCCTACCCCCCCGAAACCCCTCCCCTCCCCCCCTCTCTCCC